AAAAGAAAAATTGGTGTCAAAAGCCAAATGTAATTTTAAGAACTGGGCAGCAGAACTTCGATGTTAAAAGGTAAAACAGTTGTTTGTTTCCCAGGGTAGGTAGAAAAGAAGGGGTGTGAAACTGCTCGGTCACTGGGGGTTTTCAGGATTTCCATTTGATGTGGTTTTAAGGTTATTTATGGTTAAATAACCATATTTAGCTGCTTTTAACCAGAAAAGAATGCAATTTGGAGTAAGATGGATTTTCACTCGCAAGAGTCTTCCTGATTTCAGAGTTTCATTGTGAAACTTCCCTTGCTCCATGAAAAACAGCGTCTGGCCGTGGCTGCCTGCAGCACAGGGACTCCTCCCTGTGAGGAGGAGCTGGTGTCACCTCCCCGTGTCAGGCGCCTCTTCGGTGGCTCTTCAGCAGCTCCCGCCCCTCCGTCCTCAGACTGAATCCCCCAGAGCCTGGACAGCAGCGCTGGCGACCTGAGAAGGCTGGTGGGAGGAGGGTGGGGGATATTTTGGGGTGACACTTCTCCCTGTAGCCTGGTGCTTTGTCCCCAGTGACAGCTGCCTCCCCGCAGAGGGGACATCGCGGGTGACAGTGGGACGGTGTTTTTTGGGGACTGCAGATGTAGGGAGCTGTGGCTGCAGGGCCTGGCTGATGCTCTGACTCTTCTCCTTGCCAGATGAGATCCAAGCCATCACCAGCATGATGGAGAAACAGGCCAAGATTGTGGTGAAGCCAAAGGAGGTGTCCCAGGAGGAGAAGCAGAGGAAAGCTGCTCTGCTGGCCCAGTACGCCAACGTGACGGATGAGGAGGAATATCCTTTTCCTGACGCGGTTCAGTCTTGGTGTTTGAAGGACAATGGTTATTAAGAGTCTCCTCAAACAACACTTCCCAGCTCCGCAGTGTCTAATGGGGAGAATTGGGGGGAGTTTCTGATCTTCCTTCTCCACAGTAAAATACCTTCCATGGAAGAAGGCATGGGAGCTCCTCGTTTGTGGAGTGCCACGAGCAGACGCTGCTCTGAGGATGTTTCTCTGCTGTTTCCTCACTCCCCACCAACACGTCCTTGGCTGGGTTGGGTTTACCCGGAGGAGGGAATCGCCTCCCGTAGCTCTGTGCACCACAGTTCATGGGGTGAGTTTCTCTCCTGCTTTCTGGTGAGAAACCTGTTGAAACAATCGTCCTCAGAGAGAGGACGTGTGGAGTGGTGGAGTTTGAAGTTACCTCCTTGTGGTGCTGAGGAACAAGCTCTGCCTTGAAGAGCAAAGTTGAACGGGAGGGAATCGTACCTGGCGCTCGAGCAGCGGGATGGACTTGAACGTTGGGCTTGTGCTTCTCTGCTCCTTGGTTGTCTGTGTTCATTTTTAACTTCTTTCTTGTGTCTTGATAAAGTTCTTGGAGGTGTTTGAGCCGCGTGTGGCTGTGTAGAGGCACACACTCCTTACTGACATCCGTATTTCCTTAATTCTCTCACTGGTGAGGATGAGCAGGATGGATCGATCGCGACAGCCGTAAATATTGGATCGGAAAAATGTATCCTTTGAATTCTCAGTGACCCAGGCTTTTTTGGAAGGAGGGCAGCTTCCATGGTGAGTTCCCCGTCCTTCCTCCTCCCTGTTGATATTCCATGTTTCTCTAGGGCAACCTTTTAAGTTTGGTGATTTACTTTCTTTTCATGTAGCCTGACCTTGCTCAGAATGAAAGCTTGAGGTCTGCCCGCTCCCTTCCCCGTGTGCACAGCTGAGGCTGATCCTGCTCTTCTCTGTTCTCTCCTCTATCCCTTCCTTCCCTCTTCCGCCCTCTCCAGAGCGCCACAGAACATGCTGTTAATAAGGGTGATTCTCCCAGAACATCAGTTTAATGTTAACTGGTGTCTGGAGAGGTAAATGGTGTCAGGAATGGCTGAAAGAGCAGCTGTGAAACTCATGAGGCCGTGATGCAGAATCCCAGACCGGTTTGGGTTGGAAGGGACCTTAAAGCTCATCCAGTCCCAAGCCCCTGCCAGCAGCAGGGACACCTTCCACTAGACCAGGTTGCTCAAAGCCTCATCCAACCTGGCCGAGAACACTTCCAGGGAGGAGCAGCCACAGCTTCTCTGGACAACCTGGGACACTGTCTCACCACCCTCACACCAAAGAATTTCTTCCTCACATCTCATCTCCATCTCCCCTCTGCCACTTTCAAGCCATCACCCCTTGTTCTGTCACTCCCTGCCCTTGGCCAAAGTCCCTCCCCAGCCATCCTGGAGCCCCTTCAGGTACTGGAGCTGAACTTTAATGGTGAACAAGGATGAATTTTCCCACATTTTTCTCAACACGGTAATTTGGGACATTCCTTGAGCTCACCAGCAGGTTTATCACTGTTACGTGTACGTGTCTGTAAAAACATCTCACACACACACTGCAGTGAATCCACTCGAGGAAGCTGTCCTGTGTGTGTGGATTGTCTTCCTCTTGGGCTTGTAGAGGTTTTACAATTTATTTATTTATTTATTACATATCAGGCTTAAGAACCTGGAGGCCACTTGGTTTTTCTCAAAAAAAAATCCTTTTCTAGGGAGTGTGCGTTTACCCTCCGTGAGTTCTCTATTCATAAAAACAAAGAGAGATTCCTTTTTCTTTCTCCATTCCTCATTTCTCATTCCCGAATTCCCTTCCTGCTTGGTGAGGAAGCCAAAGGGGGACTCAGAAGGTGAAAGGGGAGGTAGAATAAAGCAGCCCGGGAGCTAAAGCCGGTGTCGGGAGCTCCATGCCGCGGAGCTTCAGCCAGAGCCTTGTCTGCCCTTAACTCCGGGCCAGCGCTGTTCCGAAACACAAACGTGGAGGATGTGGTGAATGCCAGGAAGCTGGAACGGGAGCTGCTGAGAGATGAGTTCCAGAAGAAGAAGGAGCAGGATAAACTCCAGCGAGAGAAGGACAAGTTAGCCAAGCAGGAGCGGAAGGAGAAGGAGAAGAAGAGGACACAGAAGGGCGAGCGGAAGCGATAGCCGGGGCTTTCCGGTTGGACTCTCAAGGGATAAAATTACTGACGAATATGGTGTGTGTTTAAAGAGCAGCAGAAGCTCAGGGCACGTGGCTGGTGAGTGGCTCTTTGGAAGCATTACTTTTTTTTCTTCTTTTTTTTTTTTTTTTTTTTTAATAGCAAACCAGAAATTTGAAGCATCTCTTAAACTCCAAGTGTGCCATGTGCTCGTGGTGTCAAACGTCCCAGTTGGTGATCGTGGCCAGTGTCTGTACCAAAGAACGGTGAAGTGATTATGTCCGTGTTTTGCAGTCGATTGATTTTTTTTTTTACTTCTAACCACTTCAAACAAAGCAAAACAAGATGTAGGAGAGACCTTCCGAGCCAGCTGCCTCCTCCTGCCGCCCTCCACCTGCAGAACAGCGCGTTACCATGTGGGAACAGAGAGCAGAGCCCCTTCCTGATGTGTAATTAAGGACGTGCCGCTACGAAGGACGAAGGTGAATTTATTTCCAGTAGCCTTGAAAAATTTATTTGCAAATACACGTGTTGCTGCTGCCAGGAACAACGCTGCATCTTCGTTCTGGCTGAGCTGGGAGAGCAGCAGGGTTTGGAGCTGAGCTGGGAGAGCAGCAGGGTTTGGAGCTGAGCTGGGAGAGCAGCAGGGTTTGGAGCTGTTCTGCAGTGAGAGGAAAGAAAGGTTATGAAATATAGATGAGTTGCAGCTACGAGACTGCGTCACCCAGGGGCTGGCGCTGAGGGAAACGCCACCGCGCTGATGGCACATCGCTCGGCTCCTTCTGCTGTTAAGATTTCACTCCAGTAGCTGGAAAATGGTTCTCCCTGATGCTCTGTGGGGG